AAAGTTACAGCCTATACACGTCCCAATGCTAGGCACAGGCCTCCTCTCAATTCTGAGAGGGTTTTAGGGCAAAGAAATGTCCGCAGCGCTGCCCCAATGCGTATTGGCGAATTTTACATATCTTCGAAATATTTTTTTCTTATTTCTCAGACATGCGATTTTCCTCAAGATGTTTTCTTTCACCGCCAAGTAGGTGGGCGCCGCCGCACGAATCAGCACTTAAAATCACAATTAACAAATTTCATTGTTGCCGGCGGTGATCAAACCCAACCCGGGTTGCTCACGTACTGTGAAAATTACAGCGAGCGCTTAGTCCCTGAACTACCTCACCTCCTGAATTCCAGCGTATATTAGCAGCATAATGCTATGGTATTTCGTATGATGAGTCACGAAAAACGGAGATATTTTTCACTGGTAACAACGCTTTTTAACCACAACCACAGGGTGATATGGATACACCGCCACTACACATAATAAAACTATTTCCCTTCTACCTAAAAATAAGAAATTGTATATTACATAGTAATATAACGCCAATTGTGCGCTTTCTTATACAAAGCTACGTTCCCTCGTATAACAAGCGTCCGCTTCGTTGCTCCGCGGGTCGGGGCCACATTTCGTTTGAGCTTGCCTAATTGTGTGTATTTAGGATAAGGAAAAATAAACAAAGCTGCGCCGCAAAAGAAAACTACTCAAAATCCCATTGGTCCTTAGTGGGCCACAACGGAGCTCACAGAAGATCCCTTTGAGCGTTACGGGCGAACTTGTCAGTTCTGAATTTAAAATTCGCAAAGTTGTGTCCCTCGCCGTGTTAATTATTTAGCGAGTCGGGACACCTGACGTCCGCTTTTGTTTCCCACATCAAGATGCTCACAGGGAATAAAATATTTCATAACCAGCAATTTCCTGTTTAGGCCTCTTCGCAAGCTTAACGTAATTAATTTGAGCTACCATTTAAAGTACAGTAAAGAACAGTTGTTTGTAATAGAGTATTTTTAATAGGTTTTTGTTTTTAAGAATAGAATAAGGGTGACAAACGATCACATAGATATCTACTTCTAACCTCGATCAAGAATAAAGTGAAAATGCGTTGTCACTCCTGAAGGTTAAGATGGAATTCCTCGTTTCCAGTAAAAAGGATTTTCAGTGCTCTACAATCACCATAAGAAACACAGCAGCATTAAGCTGCTATTTTACTGCTGATATTCTGTGTGAGCGCGGTCTTTTCCCGGTCGAGACAATCCATTCGTGCTGCAACCATTATATAGCTGCAGCTTGTCTCGACCATGTAATAATCGGTTATTAAAATACTTTGTCATGCACTACATCCCACAGCTGGGCACAGGCCTCCTGGTTGGTGGACTTGTTTAGACATGTTTGGACGTGTTTTCAACATATTATATTCCTCAAATGTTTCTTTCATCATCATTACAGCCCTTCATAAGTCAACTGATGAACATAGGCCTCCTCTAAGGAGTGCCACAAAGTACGGTCCTGAGCCAACTCCATCCATCAACTTCCTGCATGTCTCACCAGGTCGTCACTCCATCTAGGGGGGTTGCCCTACACTTTGCCTACTGGTACGAGGCTGCCACTTGAAAACCTTTCTTCCCCATTAGTTGTCGGTTCTTCGAGCTATATGACCGGCTCATTGCCACTTCAGCTTACTAATCCGTTGGGCTACGTCGGTCACTCTGGTTCTATTGCGGATATCCTCATTTCTAAGTTTATCACGCAGAGAAACCCCGTGCTTATCCCTCTCCATAGCTTACTGAGCGACCTTGAGCTTCATCATACGGCCAGCAGTAAAGGTCCTCGTCTCAGATCCATAAGACATCATTGGCAACACGCACTGGTTCTAAAATCTCGTTTTCAGGTTTTGAGGTATACCTGACGAGAAGATGTGCCGTAATTTCCCAAACGCTGTCCAGCCGAGTTGAATCCGATTTGGTCGAAGTTGGACTTATCTAGTCAGACTATTTGTCCCAGGTAAACATACTCGTTAACAACTTCGAGTTTAGTGCTTCCAACAACTAGCGGCGTAGTTGTGACATGGACGTTATACACGATCTTTGTTTTGTCCATGTTCATCTTAAGACCTATCCGTTGGGGTCATTGAGCATAGTGCTTAGGACCTTCAGCGATTCTGCCATAAGGACTATATCGTCGGCACATTGAAGGTGAGCCATTGATATTAATACCGTATCCTTTCCAGTCCAGTAGCTTGTAAACATCTTCCAATGTAACAATAAAGAGTTTCAGGGATATAACGTCACCCTGTCTTACACCTGTCTGCAGTTGGATAGGTTTCATACTCTGGTTCTGTACTCGGATAGCCATCGCAGCCCTACTGTACAAATACTTCAGTACTTCGATATACCAAAAGTCAATTAGGCACTGCTAAAGGGACTGTAGCACCACCCAAATTTCGACGGAATCAAAGGCTTTCTCATAGTTCACATACGAGAGAGACAAGATATAGTGGCAAATTCAATCTCACACCGCTATGAGTTGTCGTAGGATCAGGCTAAGCCAATACCATTACCATTGTAGCCTTTCAAAAGTCCCCTGCTGAAAATATGCCTCCCCTAGATTGCGTCCTCTAGAACGAATTTCGGTCACGAAGGCCAGTCTTAACCCTTTCGCTGTTCCGTGCACTAAATATAGGTCATTGCTATTGTCTTACTATTGTGTCTCAAAACCGGACAGTGTAACACTTTCACACAGACTAACCATCTGCGCAGGACGTGATAACAGTGCACGAGCGGGTGCGCAGACACAGGTGTACCCTTTATATTAAGGGACTCCGATAGCCCGATGGGACGTTAATCGAACACGACCGGAGAGAGATCAGGCACAAGACCAACGGCAACAACAAGCTTTCCGAGGCACGAGGGTGAAACCGCTAACTGTCTGACTCTTGTACCTCTACTAAGAATTTATTGACAGAAAAATCTAATAAGTGATTTTGGCCTGACCTGGAATTTGAACCCGGCACCTTATGATCTTCAATAGCATTTACGACCACTAGACTAATGAGGCAGACGAAATTACGTCATAGTGAATATTTTGCCATCTTGCCACGCTTGCAATCTCAGTCATTGTGGCTAAGCGCTCGCCGCTAGTTACAGCATCCGAGGAATCCGGGCTTATTACGTTTATATCGGGTTATTCATATTTGCGAATGAGAAGATGGGCAACATCTTCCTAATAATAAATAAAAATAAAAAAACCGCGGTTACCAAAACGCCTGCCAACCGTGGAAACTAGCAAATATCCTCCTAAAGAGACAATCTTTGGGAAGGCCTATGTTCAGCAATGGACTTTGGTGGGCTATAATACTCGTAATAATGATGTTAGCAATGTTTCGACTGCTTTTCAAGCATAGAGGAACTGGTGTTTTCTATAAAATTTGACTTATCCTAAAAACTGCGGTACAATTTCCAACCAAAATCGAACTACATATTTGAAAGAATATTCAAAAAAAAAATGCTATCTGTGCTGTAAACTAAAATGACTAGTAGCATTTGAACCTAGGATTTTTTTAAGTTCGTAGTTTAACCATAAACCTACTGTGGTTTAAAATGAAACGTTATTTTATCGCAAAATTTAACAAATTCAGGTACCCATAGTAACTGTATGAAATTGTAAGGACTATCAAACAAATATTAAAAGTAATTTCTTCGTTGGCAGTTTAAGCTGACTCAACGGTGGTCTCAAAAGTCAATTGTAAAGGAACCGGTGCGGGAATTCCTTCATATCTCATTAGCAAACCACCAAAAGCATCTTTAATATTAACGACTTGCTGGATCGCGCCACTGCGATCGGCAACAATCGGGGATAATCGGACGTCTCCAGGATAATTGCCGCCTCCGACTTCTTGGAATGTCTCCAAATTGAAAATAATATCGACGAAATTCTCCTTATGTCGTAGGTACATTGTTGGATAATACGATAAGAAAATTGTTGAAATTCCCGCCTTTTCTCTGCTTCCAATTCTCAACGTAGTGAGCTCTTTAGAAACTATACTATAATATATTATTGTGTATAAGTTCATATTATTTTATGAATAGGTTTATTTTATTTGATACATAGAATTTCTACACTACATAATTTTTCTAGGACTCCGTAAGAGGCGACAGAGAGACAAACCTGGATATAAGCAAATTGCGTTTGAAACTCGTTTGTCAAGCGTGACATGTATGGCAAATATACTATTATATATTACCTATGTTCATCAGCGTACTTTTAATATACCGTAAAAGTATGATATGGTTGTAAATCAACCTTTATATTAAACTAGCGACCCGCCCCGGTTTTGCCTGAATGATATATATAGCAGATATCTAGGTTGTATTTTATCGGAAAAACTTGAAGATGTTTTTGTAAATCCAAAACATATACAAAATAGTGGTCTTTGAATATCTTAAATCTGAATAATGTCACTTTAAATATATATATATATATATATATATATATATATATATTTAAAGTGACATTACAAAAACTTGAAGATGTTTTTGTAAATCCAAAACATATACAAAATAGTGGTCTTTGAATATCTTAAATCTGAATATATATATATATATATATATATATATATATATATATATATATATTTAAAGTGACATTATTCAGATTTAAGATATTCAAAGACCACTATTTTGTATATGTTTTGGATTTACAAAGACATCTTCAAGTTTTTCCGATAAAATACAACCTAGATCTCTGCTGGTATTGCTCACTGTTCGTAAAGTTATATTGGTTGAAAATTTTCAAAAATGGTTATTTAAATCATATTATAACACGCAAATATCCCCTGAGCTTAATATAGAAAAAAACTTTCAATTTTAATTATAGATAACAACAAATATATTTATAGATAACATGTTCACTAATTATTGGCTCGTCGTACAAAAACTATGATAGAAATCTGTAAGTATATTATAAAAGTCCAAAATATTAGTAACAGGTTTTATAATTGTTTGTAATGTAATTACCTTAGGTGGTGCAGTGGCGTGTGCACCATCGTACACGTAGAGGTGGTCGTTGCAGTCAAGCTGCAGCATTTCGAAATGCAACATAAACCGCTGCAGGATGCTGTGCGTCTGGAAAGTGACGGTGCAGTCGAGGTTGCGCTCGTTGCGCGACCACAGCACTCCACCATCGACTTTTCGGTATTGACGCTGAAGGAAATGGTCCTTGCACAGGGAGTCCATATAATCTGTGAACAATAGAAAACATCTTTAGTGTCAAAGCAAATTTGAACTTTTCTACTACCTCCGAGTTAAAAAATATTAAAACCGTTACATTCTATCAAAATCCACTTCTAAACATATGGCCTCCTCATAGATTGCCTCATAGGGGGGATTTTGCCATAGTTGTAATGTTACTGTTGATTTAATAATTTCACCTGTCAGCGGGTCATGTCCTCCTGGTAGATTATCTTCTATACATCCATTACAGCATATAAGATACCACTGCTAAACATAGGCCATATTTTTATATATGGCCTATGTTCAGCAGTCATACGTGGTAAAGCCATGCTGCAGCTATATTAATAGTACAGTTGTAGCACGAATGGGTCACCTCGACCGGGGAAGGAGCACGCTCTCACAGAATAACAGCGTAAAATAGCAGCTTAATGCTGCTGTATTTCGTATGGTGAGTGTAGAGAACCGGAGACCCATTTTACTGGAAAAGGGGCATTCTATCTTAGTCCTCACGGCTGACAACGCATCTGCAATTTAATTCGCAAACGAATATAGATGTAGATGTCTATGGGCCACAGCAACCACTTACCATCAGGTGTACTGTGTGCTCGTTTTTCACACTTATTCTATAAAAAAATGTCATAGGGGAAATATTTTTATTTTTTTTCGACTGTTATCAGGAAGACTTACCTATTTGCATTACTAAAACCTAATTTAACTTAAATTTGATTATTTAGCTACAATCGTTTGTTAACATTAACTTATTCTAGTACAATATTCTAACAACTATATTATAGTTACATATACAAATAAATTTGTAGCCATTAGGTGTAAAAATATCAACTACCCCATATCATCCCATGGGTATTTTGATAGGCGACATGGAAACAAACCAGTAGATGAGCAACAGTGTCTTTTTAATAACAACTGAAAAAACTGCGGTTGCCAGCCATGGCAAATTTCACCCTTATGAGGCAATCTATAGGGCAGACCTAGGTTCAGCAGTGGACTTTTGACAGACTGCTAAGGTAAGGAACAATATTAAAATTCTTCCAATATTTAGACACTAATTAAAATAAAAATTCTATTCTTCACAAGTTTTCACACTTAAATTAGAATTTAAGATCTAAAAACTCTAAGATCCAAATTTCTTTTGCAAATCGTATCAAATCGCATAGTTGGATTAATTTCTTTCTGCCTAACTGAAGATTAAAATTGATCTGATAAAATATTGACTGATATACCTTTAACTTGAAATTAGTTCCGAATCATCTGGGCAAGGAATGTCTTGTAGATAAATAATTTTATCTATTATTTGTCAAAACTTATCAGTTTGTCAGTGGGACGTCACTAGTTTCAGTTGTAATATAATCTGGATAAGCGACAGGTTTGCTTGCGCGTGGTTACGTAAGTTTTACGCTATGTTCTGTGAAATAAAAGTTTAGTGTCAGGATAACTTCGTAGCCATGTAAGTAAATTTTTCTTTACGGTTATTTAAAATTAAAAATATACTTACTGAAGTAAACGAATAGCGCACTAGTATAGCATATAATATAATTAACCGCACCATAATTAAAAAAAAACATTCGTCCTTTATTTTGTCATTTGATTCAGTATCTTAATTATAAAGTTATCTATGCTTCATAAGTATTACAAATCATATGGTAATAGTCAAGTTTCTTGAAGCGCTACTTCAACCGATCTAATGACATTCATACAATTAAAAATTTATACTACTAAAATCAAAGAAAATCACATTCTAAAACATTGTTTCTAAATATTTTAGGGGCACCTGCAGCGTGATACCCTTCATCATAATGGTCCTCCTTCTCGGAAATACATCATCTGCACCCACACCACGGATTTTCGCAACTTTGGTGTCTGGTGAAACAACCGGTTTAGAAGTACCAAGAGATTTCATAGCAAGCACTGGAACAGGAACCGGAGCTATGCAGCTCGTAATCAACATCCATACAGACAGCCAAGGAAACATAGAAGTATATACAAATTAATATAAAAGAAAATCAACCAAAGGCAAAACAAATAATATCATCTGATGCTAAACGAAGATGACATAATAAATTTTGATAGTGTTTTATAACCTAGCATACTAAATGACTATTTTGTGAAAACTAAAGTCGAGAAACATCCCATCAAAACAAAAAGTAAAGACGTAATGTCATAGAAGCGTGAAAATTTTAAGATGCATACTTATTGAAAGTTTTCTTTGGCACTCAATCTGTTTTTAAAACACAAAGTAACAAAATCCATAAGCGATAAGTGAAACCAGCATTTGAACCTATTTCTACAAACCTATAATTAAATATAATTAAAAACGTATATTTACAACGTGTACAAAATAATTTCCATCTATGATACAGTAAATACATTTTGAATAATACGGCAAATTCAGAAATTACAATCAAATTTGCCGAAGAATATAAATACATTTCCAACGCTCAAATTGCTTAGAGATCAACGTCGTGACAATTCATCGGAAACGGAATGCTTGACACCAATATTCGTGAAATTTATACATTAATGTGTGCGAACAGAATCGTCTCACGTTCCGCCTCTCAAAGATATGAGGGGCTTATCGTATCGGCACAAAGAAACCGCGATAAAAGGGAGAATTTCTCTGGAAGAGTGCGGTCGGAAAAGTATTTATTGCACACGACACGTCTACGTCCGGAATACGAACGTCGGGACACAGTTTTGATGTCGACATAAGTTTTATGGTGTTGTTTTGGTAATACTCTAGGTATTTGACAAGAGATAAGATATATCGCCCAACGTCATGTTAGAAACATTCAATTATTACATTTTGAGTACTATATTTGATGCACTACACTATATAGAGTCATAAGGGACTTATAATACTATAGAATACACACTGCTTATATAAAGAATATTTTAACATTAAATCTAAAGATCTGTTAATGTTTGATGAATTTTGGTCGTGAAATCTAAACCATGTACCACAAACGCTTAATGATCAACTATGTGACGAGTCCTAGGTTTGAATTGCGGTCGGATGCACGGAAGCAATAATTTTTTATAATACTAGAATGGCAGCCGAACTAACAGTCTATCTGACGGTAAGTGGTTACTGCAGTCCATGAACACCCAAGTAGGCAAACACCTTCAAACGAAAAAGTCTACAGATGCATTGCCATTTCTGAGAATTTGTATTAAAACCAAAGATCTAAATCAAAACCTAAAGTATTCGCACAATTGTGTTTTGTGCATTTCCTGGAGGACGCCTATTTCAGCAGTGAACTTGTCAAGAGCTGTAATGATAATAATGGTAGTGATGTCAATATTATTACAAATTATTCTCGAGATGGAGTGGGAATCGACAACGTTTACTAACGTACGAACGTACCCACATATACAATAAAAAGCGTTTTAAATTTCGTTTAAAAAAAATACGTAGAATTGGGTTGTATAGATTTCATAATTTAAAAATGTTTTTCCCGGGCTTTTAAATATCGGACCTATTACAACTTCCATATAAAAAAAAATAAATAATGAATGTTATTAAGCTTGTATAAAAAAGTAATGAAGCATAACTACCTCAAATAGGTTTTCAATGTTACGTAATACTTCCTAATACGAACTAATTACGTTACAATTTAAATATTACACCTCTTAGTACAATTATGTACGCTATAGCAGCATGAGCTTTTTATAAAAGCTACATGCATTGCGTGTAATATTAATAGCGTACCATCATACAATATTCATCCATTTCCTTTACAACCTATAACAGCTCACTGCTGAAAATAGGCCTCCCCCATTTGTCTGATAAGTGAGATTCTGATATGGGGGATTCTGATATGGGGGATTTTGATATGGGGGATTCTGATATGGGGGATTCTGATATGGGGGATTCTGATATGGAGGATTCTGATATGGGGGATTTGGATATGGGGGATTCTGATATGGGGGATTCTGATATGGGGGATTCGGATATGGGGGATTTCAGTGACCACGCCTGGTAAGCGGGGTGGCAAACTCAGTTTTTGATTATGTCGAGTTGTTATCAGGTAGATGATGCTGCCCATCTCCTATTTCAGTTTCCATCTATCGCCTCTTACGACATCTACGGCACAACAAATATGGGGTAGTCGATTTTCTTACACCACTACTGCACGGTCATTGACTTTATTATATAATAAATGTTTATTCTTTATATCATTATTTTTATTGAATGCCCAGCTGTAAAACGTATTAAACCTTAACTAAATTGTTCTTAAGAGGTCAAGTTTACGGCAAAGTTATAGACCTTATAAGTCCCGCCACTGGGTACAGTCTTCCTCTTATTTCTGAAAGGGATTAAGATCAAGGATAAGGAAGGACGTATCCTCCGCGCTGTCTCAATGCTTTTTGGCGTTGGTATTCCATATCTATGTCTTCGATATTTTTTAATTTCTCAGACATGCAGGTTTCCTCACAATATTTTTCTTCACCGCTAAACATATGGTAAAACGAGCACTTAAAATTGCAATTAACAATTTCATTGGTGTCAAGTGGTACGTAATGGTGTTTCTTAAGTGGTATGTATTAAATGTTATTATAACAATCTAGGCACGTATTTATTGCATTTTTAAATCTATCGTTTGTTTTGGTTTTACTTTACGTTGAGGGCGTTTGTAAAATCAAACTTTGATAAAAATTAAACAAAATTTAAAATTTAATATTTTTGTATTATATTTAATAAATAAAATGTTCATTTCTGGATTTTTTTTATTATAGTTCTCAACAATAAAAAATAAATAGTCGTACTTAATGTAAATGGAAGCCCTAGAAATAAAAAAGTAAAGAATATCAGTCAAAGGTGCTGATAAATTTTAACGAAGACAAAGCACAGGAACACAAAAGGAACGGGTTAAAAGGAAGAAATATTTTTAGACTCAAAACACAATGCCTTGAATAAATATCTTTAATCCATCTTCTAAAGAATATTCCTCGCTAAACAACATATTAAATTTTGAATAATTTTC